GTGAGCAAGCGCGTCTTGAAGGAGGAGATGCCTGAGCTGGGTCTCAGAGCACCAGGAATTGGCAAGAAAAGCCTGAAAACCTGGGGTGGCTGAGAAATTGCCCTGATCCTGGAATTACAGGGAGGGGAGTGGCATGCTCAGGCAGGGGTGGGCGGTGAGCAGGTCGGTCCTGGAGGGCCTGGATGCGGGCTGCCTGCTGGGCCCTCGACTAGGGAAGCTGTGATGGTCAGTTGTCTGTGGGTTTGAAATGGGTGGGGAAATGGGACCACAGAGAGGTGACTAGTCCTGAATCACACCTGATGACAGTGAATGTCTATCATTGAGCACTTAGATTCACTGGGCACTGTTCCAACAACGTCCCATTTTTTTTTTTAAGTTATTTTATTGATTGATTGATTGATTGGCTGCGTTGGGTCTTTGTTGCCACGCGCGGGCTTTCTCTAGTTGTGACGAGTGGGGGCTACTCTTTGTTGTGGTGCGCGGGCTTCTCATTGTGGTGGCTCCTCTTGTTGCGGAACACAGGCTCTAGGCACGCGGTCTCAGTAGTTGTGGCTCGCGGTCTCAGTCGTTGTGGCTCACGGGCTCTAGAGCACAGGCTCAGTAGTTGTGGTGCGCGGGCTTAGTTGCTCCGCGGCATGTGGGATCTTCCCAGACAGGACACAGGATCGAACCTGTGTCCCCTGCACTGGCGGGCGGATTCTTAACCACTGCTCCACCAGGGAAGTCCCATGTCCCATGTTTTAACTCATTAAGTTGTACAATGAGGTAGGTAGATGCAGGTGGGACTGCTGAGAACGAGGCAAGCAGCCTGGCCGCCTGGCCCCAGAGTTCCTGCTGGCACCCTCCATGCCACTTTTCTCAAACTCTTCTGACCACAGCCCTCCATGTGAGAAACCCAGTACATGTGCCTGAAACAAAAGGGTTACAGGAAGATAGTTGGATTTACTTGAAGGGAGGCAGGCTTATGTTTTCTATTCCATTCCATTAAAAAACAGTGCTGGTCGTGACCCGGTGAATTTCACAACCCATTTAGTTGGAAGGCCCTGCAGCCCTCTGGTTTCCACCTCTACCTGCATTATCTCTATATTTGACCCTCACACCCACAGTGGGAGACGGGTGCCATCATCGTTCTTGCTTTAGGGATGCGGGGACAGAATCAAGTGGCCAGCTCACTTGTCCAAGGCTAGGGCACAGCTAATGCTGGGGTTGGAGCTGGACTGTGTGGCTTCAGCCATCAGGCCATTGCGCAGCATAGCCAGGCCTGGCCTCAGGCCTCCTGTCTCCGCCGAGGCCTTTCTGTGCCACACTGATGTGGCCAGGACAGTCCTGGGGCTGAAGGAGCCTGTAAAGGCAACCCTGATGCCTCTAGCACCCATGTCTAGCCCCAGCCCCTGGGGCCTGGCTCTCTGTTTCGACTGAGGGGGCAGGAGCCCAGTCGGACTCCCCAGGGCCAGGGTTCCCCCCCTGCATGGGTGCTGATTGGGTTAAGGTCTTTGCAGCCTTGCCCACCCCGGGCTGGCAGCAGGGGGCAGTGTGGCCCTGTGGCTGCAGCTGCCAGGGTGGGTGGGGATGCGAGTGAACGCCTGGGCTCTTCCTGGGCCCCTTCTCCAGCTGGGGCACACCCATGGACCCTGGTCTCTCTTCTTCCCCAGAACCGTGGGGGCCCATGGGGAGACTTGTGGTCAGTTGTCAGTCTGGCCACAGGGCCTCACCACTTCTCATCCGGGGACAGGCAGAGCCCTGCCATGATGGGGGTTTGGTGACTCTTTGTCCTGTCAGTGGTACCCACTGCCCATGAAAGGAAGGCCAGGCGCCTTCATTCCGAGCCCTACATAGGCTGGCTCCAGCTTGCCTTTTCTAGGAGTTAATGAGGGCAAGGAGCTTAGCACGGTGTCTGGCACATGGGAAGCACCCAGGGTTTCCTGCTACTATTCTTATTGTTGTTATTAAGTTCTTCCACACTGTATCCTGTATCCTGTCCTCCACACCTTTGCCCATGCCAGCTCTTCAGCCTGGAGCCGTGTGCTCTCTGTCGGGTCCCGAAGTGCTTCTATTTTTCATCATGATGTATGTAGCCCAGCTGCTGCTTCCTCTGGGAAGCCCCTCCCCTGTGTGCTCCCACTGCCAGCAGTAACCATCTCTGATCTGTTGTGATCTAAATGTGACCTCCCGCCCTAGACTATGAGCATAACAAGCTTACATTAGTCATCTGCTAAGTGCCAGACTCTGTGTTTGGTGGTAGGGACCTGAAGCTGACCATGACAGCAAGCTTATTCTCAGGGCGTTCTTTCTGAGCGAGACAACAAATGGGAAAATACAAAAATGCGGGGCGTCAGCAG